GCGGAGACGGAGGGGAGGGGCGGGGACCCCAGAGCCACTCCCACCTCTGGAGAGCTTCGAGGCCGCTCTGGGTGTCAGAGGCCCCTGGGCCACACCTGTCGCTGAGGCAGTGCCAGGCCTGCATCCACACAGGGGCCCTGCAGTCCTGGGCACCCGAATGGGGAAGTGGGGGGCAGCAGTGCCCTGGCTATCTCCGGGCCGTTTCACCACCTCTTATCTGCCTGCCGGCCGTTGGCCGCTGTGAGGCCTGGAGCAGGGTGCTGTCCCCAGCAGGGCACCCAGTGGGCTCAGGCACTGAGGGGGCGGCGGCCTTGGGCGGCCCCTCTTCCTCTCGCCCTTGCCACGGTTCAGTGCGCTCAAATCTTACTGATGTGTGTGAAGTCCGAGATCACGGGGGACAGACAGGCCCAGCACTCTGGAGGGCGCAGTCTGCTGTCCACTTAAAGTAGTCTTTCTTCCCACGGAGGCTCTTTGCTGAAAGACGGGATTTCTGTCCGTCTGTCTGTCTGGTTTCCATTTCATGAAAGCTGGATCCAACAGGTGTGGAGGCACAGCCCTAGCATCCCGGGACTCAGGAGGCCGAGGCAGGAGGAGCACTGTGAGTTCACACAGTGAGTTCGAGGCCAGCCTGATCTAGGTTGTGAGACCTTGTCTCAAAAAACAACCAAAAGCTCGGTGAGAATTTCTGATGTGTTTTTTCCTTCTGATGAATTTGTTTCATTGTCAACTCCAACGATGGGAGGCGGGAATGTTCATAACTCAGGTAACTTATGCAATCAAGAAGCTCCGTGTCCCTCAGCTACAAGGATGCCCGATCACGCCTCTTACACGGGACTGCAATGCCTGACGCTCACACTGGGTCTTTTCTTTCCTTTACCTTTTCTTGAGAGAAGGTCTCACTGTGTAGCCCAGGCTGGCCCAACTTGCTGTGTTCCTCCTGCCTCAGCCTCCCCTGTGCTGAGACAGCAGTCGTGCGTGACCAGGTCTGGTTCCTCTACATTTTTTACTTCCCTCTCCCTGCTGAAGATTTGGTCTCCAGTATTACACGGACTCCTACACCACACTGGGCCGGCAGCGTTCTGCCCCTCAGCGTTCTGCTGAGGCCCACAAGGGGCCCTGGGTACCCAGGTGGAGCCTGGCTGTGCTGGAAGCCCCAGCCCCTTCTTTCCACACCTGTTTATTTTCCTCACTGCCTTTGCAGCACGAGGCGTGGAACCAACTCTGGGATCCACACACGACCCCTCCGTGTTCAAGATCTACTCGCCTCGGCCCCTTGAGTCCGGCCAGGATTCTCACTGCATCCCGGGCTGAGTCTCCAAGGCTGTCACGGGTCTGCCCGTCCCAGGGCCTGCAAGGCCTTCAGGGTCTTCGGGAGCTGACGGCCGGGGTTCCTCAGCTGGGGAGCGGCCTTGCCCTGGGCCCCACACCATCTGCTAGGGGCTGAGGTTGGGGCCTGCAGCCTCGGGTGGTGCTGGTGGGCTGAAGCCAGTCTGGGCCGTGAGTCTGTGGGCACAGTTCTCTCCGGCCGGTGCTCTTGGTGCTGGCAGCCCCCAGGGCCTTTGCCACATGTGTGCACACACAGCACCACACTCGCCGGGACCCCTGCAGGTTCTGCGGACCCCGGGCTCAGGCCCAAACACCCTGCTCACACTGGGCTTACTGAAGGGCGTCACTTTTCAGTCTGATGTGATCCTGTTTGTTGATTTTTGTGGCCCTGGGGTTCTGTTCAGAAAGTCCTTGCCTAAACTTTAGTCTTCAAGTTTTACTTATTTTTATCTTCCAGCAGATTGTTCCTGCTTTGTCATTTAGACACTGTTCCTTTTGTATTTCAGCTTGGTACACAGAAAGAGAGAGAGAGGGAGAAGGAGGGAGAGGGAGGGAGATGGGTCTTAGAGTATTACTCTGCCCTGAAGAAGGATAACTGGAGTCCTTCTTAGGAAGGTGGATACACCTGTATTGTTTCTCTGATTTGAGAAACCCAGTGTATAAATAAAGAGCAAAGTAAAAGATAACAGGAAGTAGAGGTGGGTTGTTCTCACAGGGAAAGTGCACCAGGAGTTGGAGGGAGGGATTATTAAACTAATGATTGCTTAGTAAACGAATGCTAGGAAGGCGTGTGACCCCAGCACTCGGGAGGCTGAGGCAAGAGGATCACTGAGAGCTTGAGGCCAGCCTGGGCTGCACAGTGAGACCCTGTCTCAGAATACAGACAAAGGAATAAATGCGGTGCATGTGATCTTTTCTATGAGAGCACACTGGCCGGGCACACGGTTCCCACGCATCGTGTGGCGTTGGCGGTGTACTTACCCACCTCGATGCCCTTTCCGCTCCTGCCCTCTGCTGAGTGTCTGTGGTTGTGCTGTGGGTGGCGCCTGTGTGCCCTGCATCAATAGGAAACGCTGCCCTTCTACGGTCAGTCTGACCTTGGGGAGGAGCCGGAATCCCTCCGCGCCAGATCCGGTGACCACAGCGGGTGAGGACGCGGTGTGCTGTCCTGTCGAGCTGCCTTTTGGCAGGGGCAGTCACTGCATTTTTGATCACACCTCTTAGAGCGTGGACTCCAGGGCTGCTGCGGAAGCCGCCGACCAGGGGGTGGGGAGGCTCTGAGGGGCCTCTGGGCAACGTGTCTTGCACCACAGTAACTGTCTACCTGGGCACACCCTTCGGTTCCGCTCTCACCAGGCAGGGGCGTGGTTCTGATGGCGCCACTGGGCCTGGGTTCCCGACCTGCCCAGGGGCAGCAGCTTGGCAGCTGGAGGTGGGCAGCGGTCACTCCCAGGGAAAGTGCAGTGTGCTGACCGCACCGGCCAGGCCCGAGGCACCGTGGGGGAGCCCGGCCACCTGCACCCCGGCCCTGGGAGCTCCAGATCCCACATTTGCCCGCAGGCAGACAGCTTTCACCACACCGTCTTCCCAAGCCACTCCCCAAATCACAGGTTTAGCCCCTGGGGAAAGGCGAGGTCACAAGGGAGGGAAACCCAGCCCTGAGGCCACCAGGGCTGCTGTGGGTCCGTCCCAGTGTCCCCGAGGCCACAGAAGGAAGCGCGCAAGGAGCGGCTCGCGGGCTTTCCTCCTTCCTTTTCAAAGTGTGCTCCGCACTCTTTATTTTCTTGGTCGGCACTTAAATTTTTATGAGTGAGCTTTGGCAGCACCTGGAGACCTGCTTTCCCTTTCCGAACCGGTCTCGCTGTGCGCCGTGTCCCCCTTGAGTCGGCGGCACAGACCCCACTGCTGTCCTCGCCAGGCGACTTTCTCCGAGGACACGGGACGTGCCTGTCGGTGACGTCCGGGGCGCTCCCGGTGTGACAGCCACACACAGACGATGCAGTAGAGGTTCCTCATCTGATCAGTGCTCTTTGGTCTGGAGGGTTCGTGCGTCAGGTCCCGGGACAACAGAGCTTGGCCCGTGTGTTTCTTCGCATCGGGCCACGCTCTCCTCAGGGCCGTGGTCCGAGCGCGGATCCCACCTGGATTCTTTTACACCCCCTTCCCATTTGCACAAGATCTGTCTCCCCACTTCCTGTCTGTTGCTTTGCTCTTGGTTTATGTGTGCTTGGGGTCCCCCTGTCCAGCTCTCTCAGATCTGCAGGCCCAGGACCCTGGCGGCCGCGCCAGAGCCTCTGCTGAGAGCGGGCATGGTGGGGCGGGGCGGGAAGTGAAGAAAGGGCTCCTTATCTTCAGTTCGGCTTCCCGGCCACTTGCCCAAGCGTGTGCCTCTTAAAGGCCTGAGAGTTGGACACAGGCACCTGGCGTGGGGGCTCCCGAGGACCCAGGATCGAGCTGTGTGCAGCTGGCTCTGGTGACCTGTGGGGTTGGCCTCGGGGGCACAGGGGTCTGGGAGGGCTGGCAGGGATGGCGGTGGCTCTCAGTTGCCTGGTCCTGCAGTGCTGGCATCCTGGTCCTCCTTGCACACTTCCCCTGAGGGATGCTGAGTTGCAGGGCTGGGCTTGAATCTGGGATCCTCCTGCCTCAGCCTCCCAGAGTGCTGGGAGGACTGAGCCCTGTTCTTGCTCTGCCTTTGGTTTCCACCCAGTTCCCCATCCCTTGTCAGCCCACTGAGGGTGTGTGTGTGTGTGTGTGTGTGTGTGTGTGTGACATGTTTTCTCCCTTGCAGGAGGAGGCCACAATGAAGCTCCCTCTCCTGGCTCTTTTGGTGGTGGCTGCGGCTGCCCAGCATCGCCGTGAGTCTCGGCCCCGGTCCGGTGCCTGGCTCCTTCCTTGGGGGGCAGCTGTCTTCCCAGGTGGGAGCTGTCCTCAGTGCTGGGGGGAACGGGACGCTGGGAGGGGTCCCCATTCTCTCTCCCTGCAGGGACAGAGGTGTCCAGCTTGGAGCAACTGCAGGGCGAGGAGAGCCCAGCCCAGGATGGGGAGACGGCCGCAGGGGCCCCCGGGGAGGCCGGTGCTGGGGCACAGACGCTGCCGCAGGAGGAGGTGGAGGGGGGCTCCGGAGTTGAAGACAGCCTGGAGGAGGAGGGTGAGGTGGCGTCCAGCTCAGAGTTGGTTGTGGGGCACAGGGGCATCCAGTGTCCGAAGGAGGAGGACACAGTGAAGTTCATGGGCAGCCCTGGGTGCGAAACCTGACGATTTGTCGTGGTGACCCTGGCCAAACCGTTTAACCACGCCCAGGTTAGTAGACGTCCCTGCGTGCTGCCCGTCCCCGCCTTCCCCTGAGGCCGTGGTCTCCCCAGATGCGGGGCTGAGAGGGAGGGGCGGAGGCCCCAGCCGTGGTCACCGTGGCCCCGTCCTGGACGCTGTCTCCGCCCTCCCTCCTGCCCTGCAGTCCGTGTGCCAGAGATGCTACCGGGGCAGCCTCGTGTCCATCCACAGCTCCGGCTTCAATTTCCAAGTGTGGTGTGCGTCCAGGGGCCTCAATGCCGGCCGGGTCTGGATCGGAGGCCGGCGCGTGGGCTGGGTAAGAAGGCTGTGTAACCGGGGGGCCCTGAGCGGCCCAGGACCTGGAGCTGCAGCCAGAGCGGCGCAGTGCCGGCTCCCGCCTGCCTCCTGTGCCCACCAGACCCTCCTCCCTCTGCACCTTCCCTAGGGTCACTGCCAGCACTTCCTCTGGACCGACAGAAGCTCCTGGAACTTCGCCTACTGGGCTCTCGGCCAGCCCTTCACCTGGGATCCCTGTGGCACCTGTGTGACCATGTGCACCCAAGGTGAGGTGGGCTGGGGGACTCACAGGGCCCGGGGGGCGGGTGTCCACCGAGGAGGCCCTGGGAGAGGCCTGCTGCCCAGGGAGGGAGGCCGGGGCCCACCAACCCCAGCTCCCCAGGCTGGATGTCCTCTGTTCTGCCTGCCCAGGGGGTCACTGGCGCCTGAACAACTGTCTGCAGCCGCTTCCCTACATCTGCTCCTACTGACCGTGTCCCAGCAGAGCTCCTCCCCGCCCTGCCCGCGGCTCTCCCTCCACCACCTTGCAATAAAGACACTTTCTGGAAGAGAAGCCCCTCTGTGCTCTGGTCATTGCCCCTCGAAGCGGGTCCCACCTCTCAACAGCCTTCCCAGAGGAGCCGAGGCTGGAGGCCACCTGCTCAGGGATCCTGGGGGGCAGCAGAATGGGCCCAGGTGGCTCCCGTCCCGCAGTCCTACCCTGGGCGCCTGGGCAGCAGATGCAGCTAAAAGCTCACCTGAGTCTCCCAGACCCTTCAGGGCTTCAGGGGATGCCCAGGGCCCAAGCTGACCTCAGTCCAGAGGTCTCCACCCCAGCCCAGGATGTGCTTGGTGCCCTGAGCAGGGAAATCAGTGGGTCCCTGGCCCGGTGCACCCTGGGGGAGCAGGGGGTGCCAGTGCCTGGGCCTCGCCCCTCAGTGGCTTCAGCCCTGTGTGTCCTGGACACCGTTTCTCAGTCACCCTGAGGCGCAGCCTCCGAGCACACAGTGTGAGGGTTGAGGGGTGCTGCAGTCCCGCCGGGCACTGTCCCTGAGGGGAGGCTTCGGCTCAGCTCCTGCTCCACATGCTGCCCCACGTCCACTTCGTGTCAGCTTCCTGCACCTCCGCCCTCCGGTTCCCTGGACAGGAAGCTCTCTGTGCACCCACAGAAAGTGTCTTTTCCAAAGCCCCCAGGGTGAGCAGAGCGGCCTCACCCACACACGGGCTGTGATATGTGCACCCCCTGCTCCCCCTCCCCACGCACTCTGTGCGCCCCATGTCCTGGGCCCCCTCACACTGCCCAGCCTGGGGAAGGCACCCGCTGCCTGTCTCCCATGAGCCCACACTCCCCCTGTATCATCCTGGGGTTCTGAGGTGCTGCGGGGGCGTCGTAGCCTGGGGATCTTGTTGATCCCACAGCGCACCTCCCAAGGCACCCGACCGTGGGCTGGCCCGGGTCCTGGGATGGGAGGCAGCGTTCAAGTCGCTGTGGACACAACTGTGAACAGCTAGTGAGAGCCGTGGGCGTCTCCAGGACCCCAAAAGTAATGGAGTCAGGCACCCCTGTCTCTGGCTGTGCGAACCATTGCAGGATGAAATACGGAACGGAGGGAGGCATAACCGTGATGGGGCCCAGGGTCTGGGAGGGCTGGATTTCAAAAATCAGTTTTGGTTTTAAACCAGATGAGATTGCCGTGGTCACCAACAAGGCCACGGGAGTCGTCCGTTCGTCTGTACCCCAGGTCGACACGAGGCACAGGGAGGAGGCTCGGGCTGCAAGTGGGCGGGTGGGTGGGAGGGAGACCCCAGAACAGGCTGAGTGTGGCAGCTCCAGGCCCCGGGGGTCAGACCTGCCGCAAGCTGCGCTCTGAGTCCCTGTGTGACCTCGGCGCTCTCTGGAAGTCTTGAGGTGCCTCCTCCTCCTCCTCCGTTATCTGAAATGATGCCCTCGGTGCCGATGGCATGAGAAGGACAGTGGGGTCCTTCTATTCTCCTGCCCCTCAACTGGGGGCCCCAGGTGTGGAATCCAGGGCCGGACCTGGGGCCCTGGGCTTGGCTGATCCCCTCCAGGTCCATAAGCAGAGGCTCTGGTCCGTTGGCTGGGCGATAACGCCTGAGCCATCCGTTACTCTGCAATCGGGCCCAGAAGTGACCCCACAGCCACTTCTCTATTTGGGGGTTCATGTGAGGGCAGAGGAGGGGACCAAACCTGGCCTGCTCCCGGGCTCCCCAGCCTGCTGGGCTGGTGGGTGACAATATGCCCCCCCCCAGGGTTCTTGGAGCTGAGTCGCCCCCACCCGGCCGTTCCCGGCTCTGGACAGAAGGCCTGTGAAGTCTAGCTGTGGCCAAAGTGAATTTGACGGGAGCTTGGCTAGGTTCATCACGGGCACCTTGCATTTATTTTGATTTTCAAGAAAGATTGCATGCAGAGATTTCCCGTCTTTCGTGCTGAACACTGCAGAGGGTCTTTGGGCTCTGTGTTTGCCTTCACTGCCCGATTCCAGCCCCCACTCTGGTGGTGACAGAGGGTGGTGGCAGCTGGGGGTGCTCCTGGGTCCTGGGGGCCCCTGCAGGGAGTGCCTCAGCCCAGCCGTCTTCACCACCACAGGGAGGGCAAATGGCATCATCTAGATCCATGGCCCCAGATGTTCCAAGCCGTTAGGACAGGGGAGCCACTGCTGGTGGCCGTGATGGAGGGAGGTGCTGCAGATACCCCCTGGGCAGAGATGGGGCATTGCTGGGCTTTCTGCAACACACAGGACCGTTTCCCCAAGTATCACGGGGCCCAGCATGAACAGGCAAAGGTTGGGAAATCCGGATCTAGAGAGAGAAGAATGGGGGGCAGAGTTCTGGAGCCCAAAGCCCTGAAGTTCCCGCTTCCTGGCTCTCCTGGGACCTTAGAAGCCACTCTCGGCCTCTGAATGCCACTGTCACCTTGCGAGGCAGCCCTCGTGGGGAGGGTGAAGCTGGACATCTCTTCCCTCTTCCTTCCTGGGCTCTGCTGGTCCCAGACACTGACCCCAGAGCTGCCTCTGGCTGAGGGCCCCCACGATGCTGACCCTGCACAGGGCCTGGCAGCGGGGCCTTTGGCCCACGTGCTCCCAGTTAGGGAAGGGGAGCCCTTATCACTTTATCAGCTCCGTGACCCCATCCCCAGCCTGGGGCAATCGCCCACCGCTCCCCACTTCCCCAAAGCCCAGTATAAGGGCTGCGTGTGGGTTGCCAGAGCCAGGGTACCCACAGAGGTCTGTGTCAGGAGGTGAGTGGTCCCCTGGCTGCTGGCCCAGAGCGCTCAGAACCCAAGGACGCAGGATCCCTGGAGGCCCTGGACACCTGTCGGAGGCCCCTGGCCAAGCAGAACCGGCTGGGAACTGCAGCAGCCCCGTCCCTGCCCGGCTGGGTCTGGGTGGTGCTGACCAGGGCGGAGAGAGGGTCTCTGGGAGAGGGGCCGTGCGCCTCAGTGTCCCCTGCTCTCCTCCACAGAGTCCCTTTGGGCTCTGTCCAGAGGAGGAGGAGGAGGATGCTCTCTCGTTCCCTTTTTAGCCAGCGAGTCAAACACCGAGTCTACATTGTGTGCCAGGGGTGGCCCAGGAGGACGTGGACCCAGCAGACATGCGGCTGTTCCGGCTCCTGCCCCCGGCCCTGCTGCTGCTCGGAGCTGCTGCTGCTGTGCGCCTGGGTACGTCCCCTGGCCCTGCCCACCCGGGTCTCGCTTGCTCACCAGGTCCGCTCTCCCGGGCTGAGACAGCCCCAGTCCCTGCTCTCTGGCAAACCTCATTCAGAGCTGTAAGAAGGCTGGTGAGCACTGCCCTTCTGACCCCAAAACACAAGCTCGTGGTGTCCACTAGGGAGCCGCACCCAAGGGCCCCTCCTGGCCCGGTGCCCAGTGCCCTCCCGCGTGGCGCTGTCCATGGTGCTGCGGGTGGGAACTCCCAGTGAGGCCGGTGAACTCCTCTTCCCAGAGAAGGATGTGACCCATCTGCAGAGCCCAGAGCTGGGCCAGCGCCCGGACAGCACCAGTGAGCAGGAGGGAGGCTTGGCCCTGGCCCTGGAGGCCTTTCCGACGCCAGGGGACGAGGCCTGCCCTCCCCAGGGTGCAGATGCCTGTGAGGACACGGCCGTGGAAGAGGAGGCCGGGCAGTCAGGCACAGCTGCCCCGGACAAAGACTCACCGTGCCCCGGCGAGGAGGACGCCATCCCAGTCCGGGGCGGCCCCGAGTGCCCAACCTGCCACTACCTGGTGGTGAAGACCCCCAGGTCATTCAGCGGAGCACAGGTGAGGGCAGATGCCGCCGTGGGGGAGCTGGGAGAGCAGATCCTGCCCTCCGCATGCTCAGGTCAGCTCCAACATTGCCCCGAGGTCTTGTCAGGGTGCAGATTTGGGGCTGCACCCGGATTCTGAGGGAGCGATTGGGCGAGGCCTGAGGGTCTGGACTCCTAGGGGTGGGCGAGGCTGGCCTGCTGTTACGCGGAGGTTTGGACAAGAGGCCCCGTGTGCCTTTCCCCGGGTGTCACTTTTAACTGCCGAAGGAACAGTTGTCCCTTGGGGTCCCCCATGGATACCAGTTGCCCAGATGCTGAAGTTCTTCACACAAAAGTGCTGTGGTATTGGCCACTGGGCTGGTGGTTTACTTTAGGACATCTCTTGCTGATTATAATACCTAATCCTTCCTGATGTTGTGGCGCATGCCTGGCACCTGGGAGGCTGAGGGGAGAGGACCACGTGCTTGAGTCCTACCTGGGCAGATCAGCAAGATCCTGTCTCAGAGAAGAAAGGGCTGGAGGCATAGCTCAGTGTTTAATCCTCAGTGCACAATGATAAAAACCTAATATGATGCAAATGCTACACAAATTGTCATGCTGCATATCAGAGAATAATGACAAGAAAAACTGTCTGCACAGAGCCTGTCTATTGGAGGGGGAAGATTTCTAGTTTTCCCTTTAACCAATGAATTAAACACACACCACGCCTACATTCTATGCCAGCCGTTGCTCCACATACACAGATGGCCCTGGGCAGATTTTTGGAGAGGTTTAATAGAATTTTTTTTTGACACAGGGACTTGCTGTGTAGTTTAGACTGGTCTCAAACTCACTGTACAGCCCAGGGTGAACTTGAACTTGCCATCCTCCTGCCTCAGCCTCCTGAGTGCAGGGATCACATGAATGTGCCACTATGCCCGGCAAGACCAAATTTAAAAAAATTTAAAGCTGCTTTTGATATATGGTTGGTTGGATCCACGATGGGGAGCTGGTGCATTGGGAGGGCTGACTGAGTGGTGTTAATCTCCCAGAGCTGGGGGGAGGGTTCAGTGAGATAACACATGGGGAATAATCCATGGTATGAATTCCACCCTTCCTTCCTGCAAGGATGCCGAGCACTGACTCAGGAGGACAGAACTGAGGAAGGCGAACAGGCCCCTTAGTCCTCACCTGCAGGTCTCTCCCTGGTACGGAGGAGCCAGGACCCCACCCCAGCCCTTCTCCCTGCAGAAAGTCTGCAAGAGATGCTACGGAGGCAACCTGGTCTCCATCCACAGCTGGAAGGACAACTCCGGCATCCTCCGGCTGGCCAGCAAGATCAACCAGGCCCAGGTCTGGATTGGAGGCATCCGCAAGGGCTGGGTAAGTTGTGGGCCTCATCTGGTACTGGAAGTTCCTTCTGACTGGCTCAGGTCAGTGGTGGTGGACCGTGGCCTGCCTGCAGCAGTGGCTGTTTGTATCATTGAAAGCTCTAAAAGGTTCACCATCGCTGTTTTAGGAGTGTTCTCCCCAGGCAGGCTGCGATCTGTTCTTAGCTGGTGGTGGCACAGCACACAGGTGGGAGGCCTGTCCCCCTGTCCCCAGCTTGGCGCTGGAAGCAGAGCAGGCGAGAAAGCCCAGATTCCAATGTCCCTCCAGGGCCAAGCCTCAGTGACCTGACTTCCTCCAACTAGGCTCCACCTCTTAAAGGGCCCACCACCTAATTACCCTATTGACTGCGAACCACACCTTAAATTCACGGGCTTTTGGGGGGGCATTTCACAGTCCCCCCTACAGCAGGCTCCAAATCAGGGCTTCTTCCTCCTCATCTCCTCCTGCTCTCCCAGAGCTCACTTTCAAAGCATTGGCCAGCACAGCACTGGTGTCTGGAGGCTTTTCTAACAGTCAGGCACCAGCCTCCACCCAGGCCATCACTTACCTCTCCTGGGCCCTTAGTTTTCCCATCCCCAGAGTGGGCTTCCTCTCTTCACTGGCTCTGCATTACAGGAGAACAGGTGACAGCGTATTGGGTACTAGGATGTGGTCCACGGAGCAGCATGGCCGGGCAGCTCACTAGAAATGCAGGATCCAGGCCACACCCTGGGCCCCTGAATCACACCTGTGTGGGAGCAGGCGCTGGTGTGGGGCTGAGCTCTGGCCAGGCTGTGACCCATGGTGGCGCCTCTGTTGGGTGCCCATGGGCCTCAGGGCAGGCGAGGGTGGCTGGTCCTGGCCTCCAGGTCCTCATCTTCCTGCCCGCCTGGACCTGGCCCTCCAACCCCTGTCTCTAGTGGTGGTGGAAGAACTTTCACTGGACCGATGGCAGCTGCTGGAATTTTAAATACTGGGCCCCAGGGCAGCCTAGGGACGGGAAAGGCTGCTGCGTGGCCCTGTGCACCAAAGGTGAGGGGATGGCATGGGAAGGGGGTGGAGCGACCTCCAGGTGCTGTCCCCGGGTGGCGTGGACGTAGCTCCCAAGCACCCTCCTCCCGCCGTGAACCCTGGACCCGAGACACGGGGACCCCACCAGCGTGGGCAGAGCGGGGCAGGATAGGGCGGGGCACACGTGAAAGGCAGATGTGGCCCCAAGAGCAGTGATGTGAGGCCAGGTACGGACGAGGGCAGGGGAACGGGAATCTGCGGCCAGCTGGGCTCCGTGTGGACGTGGGGGACGTGTGTGATGGGTGTGGCTCAGCCCCCGGTGGAGACCCGGGTGAGAGGCCTCCGGGAGCCTCAGTTCCCTCCCCCATGAGCCCACGACGCCCTCCGCTCTCTTCTGCAGGGGGCCACTGGCGACGCACCCGATGCTGCAAGCGCCTGCCCTTCGTCTGCTCCTACTAGACCCTGCCTGGGAGGGAGCCTCCCCCTTTGGCCCCCTGGCCCTGGGCTCAGGCCATAAACCAGGCTTCGAAAGGCACCGAGTCTCAAGTCTTGTTTCTTCCTTGCTCGCTGGGTGTTGGGCGGTGGGGAAGACCCTACCTGGGGGCACCCGGGAAGGTTGTGTGGGTTGCGCACAAGGCGAGGTTGGATGCAGGCACCACCAGGAGGCAGTGCAGGGACCTGTCCAGCCTCACCTGGGGCCTCATGGAGGTGGGCGAGAGGACGCAGGACCCCGCTTGGCTTGAGTTCAGCATGGGCGCAGAGTGGGACAAGTTTGCAAAATGGAAACAGATTCTGGAATTAGCATGGAATTCTGGGGTCGTGCTGGGAGTCTGGGGACCCTGAGAGGGGATGGGTGGTCCTGGCAAGAAATAGCGGCGACTGCACACACGTGCCTGTGAGTGCGTACTTGTGTGCCGAGTGTGCGTGCATCCACGCCTGGACATTCAGGGCACAGCTGCGCGTCCGCGTGTCCCTGCGTGGGGACACCTGGCAGCCCCATGCCCTTCCCTTTAGTGCCTGATGCTGGTGCGTGGGTGGATGCACCCGGTGGCGTGTGTGTGTGTGTGTGTGTGTGTCCACTTGTGCAGTTTGTGTGTGTGTAAGCCGGGTGTGCACCCACTGGCACTGGCCGCAGGAGCGGAAAGCGAGTCTTTCTGGTGACCTGTGCTCTGCTGGGCAGCTGGCGGGCCGGGCCTGGATCCCGCCCCAGTGACCACTGACCAGAGCTCTCTGGGCGGCCAGGTGGTCAGATGCCCCTCAGACTCAGTGGGTCCCCACTTCCACCCTGGCTCCCCATCCACTGCTTTGGCCGCTTAAGACCTCAGTCTTGAACAGTTCTCCATTACAAAGCAAATGCTCCTGAGAGCAGAAAGCCCAGGGGCTCCCTGCTAATACACCCTGGCCGCTTGCTGGGATGAGGCTCCTAGAGGCTCCTAGAACCTGGGATGAGGGCTGGAGGAGGAGTAAGGGAGGTGAAGAAGCACCCCCAACCCCCGGCCATGTCCACCGCTCTCTCTTCTCTGGCACTCAAGGAGACCCGGTTTCCAGGGTCCCTAGACAAGTGTGGCCCTGCAGCCTGCTCAGGAGAGGAAGTGGGCTGACAGCCAAAGGGCCTCCTTCCACTTCAGCTCCAAACCTTCAGCTCTGACTCCTTGTTGCCGCAAAACCTGCCCAGCTCAGACATAAAGGGTAAAGAAGGTGCCAGGGGTGGTGGTGCATGCCTGTTATCCCAACACTCAGGAGGCTGAGACAGGAGGACTGCTGAGAGTTTGAGGCTAGCCTGGCCTACATAGTGAGATTCTGTCTTGGAGAAAATAATAATAAAAAAAGTTAAAAACAAACGGTGTCCACACAGGTCCTGATTTTTTTCCAGACAGGGCATGGGAGTCAACAACCCAAGCTCCAGAGTCATAAAACTCTGGATTCAAGTCCAGGCTGCTTCCTATTTCTTAGGCCTATTTCCATTTCTTAGTTCTGCTAAGCCTCAGTTTCTCCTGCAGAGCAAGAGGAGGAGCAGGCCACACTGTGACACAGTCTGCTGCTTGCCAAAGGGGAGCCATCAAAAAGTGAGCTTTTATACCATGTCTTTTTTTTTTTTTTTTTTTTTTTTTTTTTTTTGCAGGGTCTCGAGATGTAGCCTAGGCTGGCCTTGAACTCAATGATCCTCCTGCCTCAGCCTCCCGAGTGCTGGGATGACAGGTGTGTGCCACCACACCCAGTATATGCTGAGTCATTAAAGAATCAATAATGATAAAAAAGAATCACTTAATGTCCCGCTCTGGTTTCCAAGCGCCACCAGCCCAGTTTTCTGCGGGACAGAATGAATGACAGGCCTCAGCAGCCTTGCCGGGCTCGGGGAGGACGCACGACGGAGTCAAGACAGACCTGACCCCATGCCGGACACGGTGGGCAGAGGGCGGAACAGCTTCTCAGCACTGGCGGCTGGGTCTCCTCTCCAGAGTGATGGGGCACTGCGGACCCTGGTGCCAAGGACGGACGGGGCTGGAGCCTGCCCCACTCAGGGGTCATTGCTCCCAGACCGTTTCCTGTTTCCCCCCCAGCACGGCCCCACGTCCATCCTTCAGCCTCTCCTCTGGAAGCAGGGCCTGCGCGCTGGGAAAAGGTCGCTCTTTATTAACCTGACCGTGGTCAGGAAAGGTGGGGGCAGCAGCCGGGCAGGCGGGATTCACTCTCGGGTGTGGGGAAGGGGTGAGTGAGACCCGGGTTCGAATCCCAGCCCCTCACTCCCTGGTTGTCTCTGAGGCTGTCTCAGCCTTCCTCAACACGGGAGGGGCATCTGCCAAGCAGGGTCAGCGTAAGGGGTGTGGGAAAGTGGGGTGCGGGGCCCTTAGGGCCCTGGGTGTTCCTGGCATTATCGCTTCGTCAGGGCCTGGGGTCCGGGGAGCAGAGGGGACATGCGGGAGCCGGGAGCCGGGGCCCCAGGATCCTGGACATCCAGGTCTCCACGTGGCCGAGGGGTGAACGGCACACACTGGGGCCCCTGTCCCCCCAGCCCCTGCCCTGCGGGGCTCCTCTGGGAGACCCGAAGCCCTGGCTGCGAACAGGCCTAATGGCCAATGGAGTAGGCGCCGGAGTCCGTGGACTGCTTCTCCTCTGTGGCCTGGTCCAGGGGGCACGCGGGGTTGGCGCCCTTCAGAGTGGACTCGTTCACCTGCGGGGGAAGGGGGGGAGCCGCCTGGTCCCCAGGTCCCGATGGCCCCCCGGGACCCCAAGGCCCCTGCCAGGCGACCTCAGGAGTTCCCTGAGCCCACACGGCCCCTCACCCGCTCGAACTTCTTGGCCTTGTACTGGTCGGCGCCCTTGAGGAAGTTGAGCAGGATGATGTCACACAGCACGGTGCCCTGGGGACGGAGACGGGCACCGGGCTGGGACCAGGGCAGGGGCGGGTGGGCGCGCAGAGCGG